TTTTTTTTTTTTAAGACAGAGACTCAAGCTGTCGCCCTGGGTAGAGTGCCATGGCATCACAGCTCACAGCAACTTCAAACTTTTGGGCTTAAGCTATTTTCTTGCCTCAGTCTCTGCCCCCCCCCCTTTTTAAGACAGAGTCTCACTATGTCACCCTTGGTAGAGTGCCCCGTTACAGCTCACAGCAACCTCCAACTCCCAGGCTCAAGTGATTCTCTTGCCTCAGCCTCCCAAGTAGCTGGGACTACAGGCACCCGCTACAATGCCCAGCTATTTTTTGTTGCAGTTGTCATTGTTGTTTAGCTGGCCTGGGCTGGGTTCAAACCCACCAGCCTCGGTGTATGTGGCTGATGCATAACCACTGATGCGTAACCACAGGTGCCAAGCCATATAAATAATTTTTGTTTCTTTGTTTTGTTTTTGAGATAGTCTCACTTAGTTGCCCTGGGTATGGCAACCAAGTGCTATGGCATCACAGCTCACAGCAACCTCAAACTCTTGGGCTCAAGCAATTCTCTTGCCTCAACCTCCTCTAAATAATGCCCTCTGCAGCCACACCAAGCACCTCTGTGGGCTACCTTTTCCACTTCTGAGGTAGACAGTCATTTCCTCCTCATATACTAATGGGTTGGGTGTGGGGCAAGCTACAGGAACATGGAGCAGATGCTTAGCAATCCCAGAGGTGCCCCCAGAGGCCAGTTCTACATTTTTCTACAAAGCGATAAGCTCTAGAATGTCCCCCCTTAGTCTGATTCCTTCTCTTTACCTCTTTTTAAAAATAAGAGCATTATTTTAATCCCCATACCCTTAAATTCACTCTTTAAAGCACACAGTTGAGAATATTAGTATATTCCCAACATTGTGAAAGCACCACCACTATCTAATTCTGTAATGGGGTGCCAAAAGCAGAACAAGAGCCAAACACTCTTGTGGGTTAAAGTTTTATTCTTTATTTACAAGATTCAGAATCCCAGGAAGACAGGGACATGGTCCTTATAGCCTACCTTGCTTTGAGAGAACTTCCTGCAGTTCTCACACTCTTCTCAGAGTTATTGTCTTTCCCTATATGTTGTCTGCCTTCTGATATCTAGCTGAAGAATCTGCTACTTTCCCCAGCTGCACATCAGGTGTTTTTTCTTTCAGACTAGGGTTGTGATGGCCTTCATGGGAGGACTAGCTGAGGTGACTGACCCATAACTAGTTAGATCACTAAGTAACTTTTACAGCTAAGGGAGAGGGGTGAGGTTCTCTCCTCTTATAGTTCCACCACATTCCCATCACTCCAAAAAGACACCTGTGCCCATTAGCAGTCACTCCCCCTGTCCCTCCTTTCCCCAATTCCTGGCAGTCACTTCCTAAGATAATGGAGATAGGAATTGTATTGGTGGATGAATTTACCTGTTCTGGATGTTCATGTGGCTGCAGTCACACAATATATGGCTTCCTGGCTGCTCTCAAGGCTCAGCCACTCTGAAGTGTGGTCAGACATTGTGCTTTTGTGTGACAGAGACCACATTCCACCCACTCATGGGTGGGATTTCAGGTCATTCCCCCTTCTGTCTCTATTGAGTGATACGTCTATACATATGTGTATGGCTGTAGGTCATTATTTCTCCTGTGGGTGTACTGAGGACTTGAACTGGTGGACTCTGTAGTGACTGAGCAACAACCAGGCAGTTTCCAGATCACTACTCCATCTTAAGTTCCCACTGCAATGTGCAAGGCCCCATCTCTCCATATCCTCACCCACACATGCTGTTTTTCATATTTGTTCTTGCAGCCATCCTAATGGGTATGAACAGGTACTGTCCCTTCACTGTCCTTGGTGGCTAATAATGTTAGTGGAGTGTCTTTTCCTGTTGCCAAACTGGGAGTGTGTACTTGGCTGTCCTGGCTGTGCTGGGACCCAGGTGGCAGCCTTGCTGAGCACAGAGACTGCAGCTCAGCCTGGGCCCTGCCCTGCAGCTGCCTTCTGGGGATGAACAGGCTTTGTCTCTGCTTGGGGCCCTGTTTTCCTGGCCCTGGGGGCACCGAGGTGGGAGATGTTGGCTTTGGGGAAGTCTCATCTCCTACTGCTGCCAGATGAGGCAGGGGCTCTCTGCCTCTAGACCCTCCTGGTCTCTCTCCAGAGTAGCCTGGGGACCCTGGCATAGCTGCCCTGGGCTGGCAGGGTCCCTGAGGACAGTCAGGACTCAAGGCCCTCCCCAAGGTCTACAGGGGAGGCCTGAGAGCATCAGCCTTGGCCGGGGAGGCACAGGAAAAGAAAGTACAACTTCTTTTTTTTTTGAGACAGAGCCTCAAGCTGTCCCCCTGGGTAGAGTGCCGTGGCATTACAGCTCACAGCAACCTCCAACTCCTGGGCTCAAGCGAGTCTCCTGCCTCCGCCTCCCAAGTAGCTGGGACCACAGGCGCCCGCCACAACGCCCGGCTATTTTTTGGTTGCAGCCATCATTGTTGTTTGGCGGGTCCGGGCTGGGGATTCGAACCCACCACCTTAGGTGTACGTGGCTGGCGCCTTAGCCGGTTGAGCTATAGGGCGCGGAGCCGAAAGTACAACTTCTAATGGCCCTGAGATTTAGAGGCCACCAGCCTCAGCTCAGGCCAGGTTCCAGGTGTGTCCCAGCCCCCAGCTCCCAGATTGAGGGTGAGTCCCAGGTAAAAGCCCCTGTCACCATCCATCAAGAGCACCCCACACAGGGGCTACTGTGGGGCTGCTCTTCCAGGCATATGGCTGTGCTCTTCCTTCATAGGGGCTCTCTCTGGGGTAGCCTTTTCTGGGCTAAAAGGCTGGCAGGCTCCAGGGAAGATCACCCACTTTGACCACCTCGGGGACGTGGTGGTTGGAGGCAGCTTCTCCATCTTCCACTTCTACAATGTCACCCTGTTCGACTTCACTGCCGCAGCCCCCAGTCATGCTGGCTTCTTCCAGGTGAGCTGCTCCCTGGGGTCAGGGATCCCCTAAAGGCCCAGGGCTCCTCCCAGAGCTCTACTCTGAGGCCTCAAATGGCTGCTGACCTCAGGGCCATCCTGTCTTCCAGGTCTGACCTCGGCACATCTCTCCTCCCTGCTTTCTTGTTTGTATTCCTCCATCTGAAACAAGTTCCTTCTTTTGTCTGCAGGGACCCTAGAGGTCAGGCAGGGATACTTGCCTCTATTGGCCACTGCCAACCCTTGGTGCTTAGGATAGCACCAGCCACACAATGGGAATGGTTTGCTGAGTGAATAAGTGTGGGTAGATGAATGAATCTCTTCCTGAGGTCATCAGCCCCTGGGCATCCCCTCTGTCATGCATCTGTCCCCCATTTCTGTATTGGGTTTCCCATCCTGTCTTTCTTGACAAAGGGTGTTCCTGGCATAGTCCTTTTGATGTCTTTTTTTTGTTATTGGAATGAATGTGTTTACTTGAATAAAATATAGCCAAAGCATTTTACAAACTAACTGCATCCACCAGTCATTGCATTCCCACCAGAAAGGCATGGGCTTCCTATTGCCCCACATTCTTGAGTCCCTTGATATAGTCATGTTAGCTTTTTTAATTGATGAATAATAAGTGTGTAAATTTTGGGAGGACAGTTTAAAGCTCTGACATAGATATATAATATAATATGGAATGATCATATCAAGCTGATCAACACATCCATCACTTCATATACTTATTACTTATTCTGATGATGTAAACATTTGAAATCTATTCTCTCTGAGATTGTAAAATAGCCATTTTTTTAAAGGGCTTTTTTTGCAGTTTTTGGCCAGAGCTGGGTTTGAACCCGCCACCTCTGGCATATGGGGCGTGCACCCTACTCCTTTGAGCCACAGGCGCCACCCCATAGCCATTGATTATTATTAAGCACAATAATAGTGCCATGCGATAGATCTTGGAACTTAGTCCTCCTGTCTCATGGAAACTTGGTGCCCTGGGACCTGCCCTCCTCGGCCTCCCACCTTTGGGCTGCTCTGATGGATGCTGCCCTGCACAGTGCATTGTGCAGTGTCTGTAGGGCCAGATGTGATCACCCCTCTTAGGTCAGAATCACTGGCCATATCCCCACCTATGACAAACAATCCATGTGGGCTTCTCTCTCCCTCAGAGCCTCCATGTGGGGATATCAGGTGGCACAGAGTTTTGTCTTTGCAGTTGAGGAGATCAGCAGAGATCCCCACCTGCTGCTCAACCTCATGCTGGGCTTCTCCATCCAGACCTAGGGGGACTTGGTGCACAGAGCCCTCATGAGACCATGGGCTTTCTCACAGGGGTTGAGGAGTTTGTCTCCAACTACATGTATGAGTCAGCCCTTCCTGGGCCACCCTGGTTGGAGACACATGCTCAGCAGTGTCCATCCCCATGGCCAGGCTCCTGGAGCTCTACAGATTTCCTCAGATGAGTGAGTCATCCACAACCTTTTCCTGTCACAAACGATAATGATAACGAGGACGAAGGTGACAGGTAATGTTAGGACAATGCCACTATGGGTCCAGGTTCCCTGCTAAGGCTGCGTGCATGGGCCTGCCACTATTTTCTTCCTCACAGTAACGCTATTTTGGCAGCCCTATAATTCCCTCTGCACTCATGATGAAACTGAGGTTGGGAGAAAAATTGAAGATGGATGTGTCTCACCAGTGGGGAGGTGCTGGAGCTGGAACTTGGATCTAGGCCACAAGGCTGTCTCTTCCCGGCTGAACCTTCCTAAATCTCAGTCCTCAGCATCATCCCCACAATCTTGTCCTTGACCTTGTCCAAGGGCCACCTTTTCTTTCTGTTTCTATTTTAACAGGTTGATTGCAGTGTAATTCACACACTCAAGCAGTGGCCCCATGGCTATTGGTGTTTGTTCTCAGAGCTGTGTACTCACCACAGTCAGTTTGGGGATATTTTCTTTTCTTTT